CTCCATACTCGTTGACGTTCGGAGGTGACGCCGTCGAGTCCCTGGCACCTTGGCGTCTCCGTACATCACCTGACCGAGGGTTCGTCGCTTGAACATCTTGGGCGGTGTCACGTCTTTGTCGACGGGTGATAATCCGCAACTACGGAGAAATCACTACACCACAACCTTATGCGCCCCTGGGCTTGATACCAGGAATTCCGCGCCGAATAAACTCCAAACTTCACACTCCCTTATGCACCCCTGGGCTCTATACCAGGAATTGAGCGCCGAAAATCACACTCCAGTCCCTATGCGTCCGGGGCTCGAAAAACAAAAAACAAATCTCCTTGCACTACCGAATCACACTCCACGCACGTCTCCGAACGTTTCATTCTTTAACACGCAAGAACCGTAACCTGCCTTCTCCCACCACGTGTTCGCCCAGCCCTCCTCTGGATGTGACGCTCCAGCTGTATAGAAGTAGAACCAGTACGGAGATATAAACAGAAGCAACAAGCTAAAGACAAATGTCAACACAAATTCTTTTCTGCTGTGTCTCCAAGGAAAATTCACGACTGATCTCTTTCCTTCTTCCTTGCGGCCCGCACTTCGTCCTCCATGGTCCTCGTTCCCGCCGTCAGGCACCGTTTCGCAATCATCGTCCACGATTTTGTACACCACGACAGCGAGGCGGTACCGCTCACCCCACCGCCTCACCGCGAAGATACACTGTCCTTCAGTAGCTCCGGTCCCCCATGACTTCCGTCCTCGTCATCCACGGGGACCGTACGCTCTAGCCGCGCTTGTCCCACGGAGACCGAGGCCGGCCCACAACTTCTCAGCGACTCCGTCGTGGCCCTGCATGGCTTCATCGAAAGCGTGGCCCACACGAATCTGGTCGGCCGTCGAAAAGTGCGGAGGAGGGTAACGGAACTCACCGTGCCCAAGACGATGGCCGCCAGAACCACTCGTGACACTGGCATGGTAGCCAATATTCGCTTTTTTTGCCTCTGGCGGCCGCCCAAGTACTGCAAATGATAGCAGAAGCTTGGTCTACTGTCAGTATGGGCAGCACGAGCACCATCCTGATCAGGGCTGTGATTTTTTCCCGCCACTCAAACTGGAAGGGGATTTGGGCTACTAGCTACTTTAGCTCTACCCTAATAAAGGATTGAGCTGTGTTTGAGCCCGCCTGTCACAGACTCTGTGAGTACGGTACTTTCATTCGCTGAAACTGAAACTCAAATCTTGGGTCTCCGGAACGAGGAAATTTCATATAACAGTACATATGTACTGGGTTAATCCCAATCTAAAACAAAATACCATACAAACTGGAAACACACAGTTCACAACTCTCAAGTTCGAAAAACCAGCACATTGCTAAGTAATGTGAGTAAATGATAGGTGCTGATTGGATTGTAGAAAAGCTAGACTTTCCCATAACTCTCCATTCAAAATACTCATTTATTTCTAAACCTCACGCCTTGTGAATGCTCGTCAACCTACCCGAATCATAACGTATCTGTGGCGGGTGGCAGGTTGAAGAACTTCCTGGTATCCACGCAATTTGCGCTGCTACAGAGGACGGGAAACGTTCCGAATCGCTGTACGAACGTCGATATGACATCATCGCGATACTGGTACGTACACCTTTACGCTTAAACCATGGCCTTCAAGCGTGGCACTAACAACCGACACTGCACTATGTATCTCGTGACTTCAGGTGGAACCAGCACGTATCGGTAAGCGTAGGCTTTAAGCCGGGACCCAAGCCGAAACATAAACGATTACAAGCGCGAAACGCTCTGACGTAGAAACTAGCCAGAATTTTGCATAAATTTGGCCACACTTGCATAACTTTCATCTAAAAATATATCTCCTCATTTGAATATTAAGCTAGCAGCGGACTTTGTAGGTTACTGTGAACAGTACCTAAATTTATTTTATTTTTACAGACCTGGTGGTCAAGTCGTTCATACTAATATGTGCTGTATTATGAAGACGACAGACTCCGCCCCAGAAACTGAAATGTGCATACAGCTTATACCCTCGCAAACACGGTCAAAATACTTTCAGCTTTTTCAGCCAGAACAACGTAGTACATGTACTTATGATTTGCAAGAATCCAAGAGAGTGTCTCCCTGCACAGTATTTAAAAGGGCCATTTCGGTGGGGACAAATCTTTTGGTTGTCTTCGGATGTGCATTTTGATCTTCGGATGTGCATTTTGATCTCCGGATGTTCACCCGGATGCAGACCATCATTCCTAAAGTTTAATGGCTGTCAAAAGTCTCCCCCTCCCCAGTCAAAAGAATCCCAGCGTTCCAAAAAGCAGCACGGGTCCGACGTCTGCTGTATCGACGCCCGCCATGCCACGCCACCAGCCCCGTTACAGCGAAGGGAGTGACGAAGACCTAGCAAGCGTTGCGTCAAGATCTTACAGCGACGGCGAATCCCGCGACATTGCAGTTCATTCAAACTCACGGAAGAAGAAGAAGAGATTAAGAAGGCATCTTACCGCCCGAGATCGAGCGGTAACCAAGCGAAGAAAGCAATTGCCTCATCGATTATCCTCGCGTCGCCACAACTCTTCTAGACGCAGAAATGAAGAATCATTGAACGTTCAGGATTCGTCAGTAGAATCCGAGCACGAGAAGGGATCTCATTATTCATTCGCATCAGACTCTGATGCTAGCAGCCAAAATTCGTCCGATTCGGAAACAGAAGGATGCGACGGAGGTGACATCGCTCCTCAAGACGAATTAGTGGACGTACCGGATCTGGATGTGACGGCTTTCGACAGCTGGGATGCGTTGGAGTCGTATCTGAAGGCATACAGCAGGAAAACATTCCAGGTTTGTGCTGCTCAGACTGTGAAACAGTCTGAGACTGTGAAACAGTTTCTGAAATCGTGCTAAATTCTTACTGTGATCAGATTTACACCATTCGAACAAACACTCTAGTGCGGACAAGAAACGCTAGAATGCAGAGAAATATGTCTGCTTTCAAGCCAGTCCCTGAGGAGTTTAAGTTCTACAATAAAACCTACGTATTTGTCCTTCTTTTCGTTGAGGTCCAGCTTTATGGAGTGCATGTCACTGGACTGGACAGTGAAAGCGGTATCAGACAAGCGATGGAATTCTTCCGGTACAGATACTTAAGTCTTATATTATCGTCAATGTAAGCTTTTTTGTAGTTATTTTTTTGTCAATGATTCTTTCTAAAAAAAATGATATCGACCGGTGTGCATACATATGAAAGGCTTTACGAAGCAGGGAGTGACATTGCGGCGAGGCGAATACTGCGGTGAAGCCGCTTGAGTGGTGCTTAGATAAGTTTAAAAAGTCGAGTTGCCGCCACACTCACCGGCAATCACTCTGGTTTTTTTCATACGTTCTTGTACCCGAAGATGCACTTGTTTTGGTCGCTAACGTGCTAGCCTTTCCGACCACATGGATCAGCAATCTGCGCGAAGAGAACATAATATAGCCGAGACTGTGCATCGGCTGCACAGTCTAAATTTGAGACTGTGCAGGTAGTCTCTGCCAAGAATCCAAGGTCTATGCTTACTTGATATCCTTTGGGATCTTAGGAGGTCCACCCTTTTCAGTTTCTGGGTGGAGTCTGTATTACCAATTAACACGCACCCCATTTCTAGCTGCTAGTCGCTATACATATGGACTAGCTACTGCACCTAGCTATCTTGAGACGAACATTGTTCAGTGGTGGAGTTCTGACCCAAAAGTGGCCTGTCAGCCACGAATTCCGTGACCTTCGTAATGAAGCACCGCTGGACTAAAATCTCGCTTTGGATTGGCTGAATAGCTTGGAAGCCATCAAAATGTCGCGGGCCGACCTTGGCCGACTTGGCCTTCCCATTGCCGAATTTGCTTGGGCTGCATCACTTCAATTCGCCAGTCGAGCACAACCAAACCATGGGCATTTCTCCCACTGTGACAACGTGCAGCACGCCGATCATCAACTTTTCGAGCTATTACCGTAAACGTGCGGCCTCTGTGGAGCTTTCTGAGGCCACAGCGTGGTTAGAGCACCTCCAGCTCGATATGTGCGCTGTCACCAGTGCCAGCGCCACAGGCACTAAAGTGCAGTATGAGATACAGGCGAGCTACTCGCCTCCCCGCTGCGGCAGCCGCTGCCAGGACCCGGAGCTGGTCTGGACGGTCAGCCGCCCATTTGAGGCTTACAGACGCTTCCGCAAGCAGGCCTGCAGCCGGGCCATATGTGCCCTGCCGAGTGCAAGTGGCTCTATGCTGTGGTGAAGAATCATTTTCCCAAACTCAAATTGCTCTCTTCCAACTCGCCCCGAACGGTGGAGGCCAGGAGACAGGCACTCATCCGCATGCTTCGCACGTTGCAGGCCTCTCTGGTCAACCGCGGAAATCAAGGCTGCAACGTGCTTGTCCAGAATGTGTGCAGAGAGTTTGCAACTTTCATCCTGGGTGACAATGCCAATCTGCCCGATGTGGTCATGGCGCTCAGTGGATGCAGCTCCGACCAAAGCACGCGCGACTCGTCTGCGAGTTTTATTTCCCATTGCAGCGACAACGAAGACTATTGTGAGGAAACCTCGCCGTTTGACGATCTGTATGCTTGCAGGAGCGGACGGGGATACTGCAAGTCCGAGTCAGGACAGTGAACTTCACTGTGAAGGGGGTTCGTGACCAAGAAATAACAGCGACATCAAGATCGCGCAACAAAAAGAATTCAGCACAACACCCGTGCCATTAGAGCACGAGTAGCTCAGCTAAGGGCTACCCCGGTCCACATGAGACCGGCAACTTACACGAGGTGGACCCTACAGAAAAAAAAACACACCAGGGAAAGTCGCGGAAGCAACCCACCCAAATGCAGGTGAGGGCTGAACAAGGCTGTAAAGCTGCGTGCTCTTGCGTGGGCATTGCAATGAACGTAGCATCTGTAGAATGGAAAAGTTACTAGTTTAATCCAGAATAAAGGGAGGTAAGTGCCTGCCAAAAATTGCACATTGCCGTCTGAAGTGCTCCAACGCCGGGTGGCAACTATGCTGTACACCAGCAGCATCGTAGATGCCGTCTTCTAATCGCCTCTCCTGCTGCGCATGCAAGTACATGTAGCTGTAGGTTATGGAGTGGCGACACGCAGCACGATGTGCCCACACGCATCACAATGTATTTACTGGCTAGTTAATGTGTTTTTCAGACTCTCCACGTGCCAAGACGCAGTTTGGGGGATTTCCCCATGTTTACAGTGCCGACGCGACGCTGTCGAGTGGTTTTCACGCGTTGTCTTATTCTAATGGCATTTATGATTGTCTGTAAATGGTGCTGGTGGTCTGGCAATGTTGCCCACTCAGTGCCGAGCTGGGCGAGGAAAGCAAATGGCGCCCACTTAAGGCAATGACTCCCCCGCAGCTGTACAAGTAATTGTAGCTAAATAGTGTCCAGAAAGCAAAAATAGATTTGATACATATCAGTTATGACCTTTTAAACCTGACAGCATTTTTTTAGCATTCTTCGTAATTGCACAAATCACCCGCATGTTTTTTAGAGATTCTTCACGAAAAAGTTGTCAGGGATCATGACTTATGATGCCATCGATTAACATCGACCAAGTGCGGGATCGGCAGACGTGCCGCTCAAGTCCAACCGTGGCTTCGTCGCGCATGCTCTGAACATGTGCAAATGTTTCGTGGCGCGGTCGCCTTAAAACCATCACGTTCGTGTCTAATCGTTACGACCGCCGGCTGCCCCCTCATATCCGTATTTCAGATTCTGACCCCCCCCCCACCACCATCGATGCTTCGAGCCATGCCGTCGTTCTCGCCAGGATCGCAGGCCTCCCCCGCCCTAAAAACGCTGCTGGACACGCCCATCGCTGAGCCCGAGATGGTGGTCTGGCTACGAGATCTCACGCTGGCCATGAGCATCCGCCACAAGCCCGATCAGGACGTCCGCTTCGAACTCACGGTGCGTCGGAAGCATCCAAAGTCTTCGCTCTCGATGGAAGCGGCCTCTTGGACCCAGAGCCGACCGTTTAACGACTACTATACGCTTCGCAAGAACCTCCTTCGCGAGCTGCAACCAGGACACAGCTGTTCAGCAGAGTGCAAATGGCTCTACAGTGTCGTGAAGCAGCATTTCCCAAAGACGCAGCCGAAATTTGCTCCTTGCGCGTTCAAAACCGATCGACAGAGAGTAGCTCTGCTCCGAGCGCTGACCACGATCCAGTCGACGTTAGTGACCCATGGTAATCGTGGCTGCAAGGTGTTGATGGGAGGCGTGCTGAACACCTTCTCGGCGTTCCTCGCATGTGACCGCACGTCCCTTTCGCGAGCGTCCCTTGCGCTGCCAGTGCCCTACCGTCAGGGGCTAATCAGTCTTCCTAATAGTTTGGGTAGAAAACTGGCGAGTCTTCGAACTCTCTCGCGTGGCCGCAGATAGAAGACAGCAGAGGAATTACTCATATCCTGCGGAAAGCATCAAAGACAAGTCCTAGTTAAAGCGAACGAAGCAAGCCTGGACACCCAGGAGTAACTCATGTACATACATGTACAGTATCAATGATTTAAAAACTGCATGTAGTACACTTGAAGCTGTTCTTCAGCTCAACTCGCTTCAACATGAGGTTGTATAGATTCTCGCATCCCATTTGTGGTGTGACCCAGACGTAGCCATAAGAAATCCACTACATGTACTTAAGTAATGTCTAAATAAATACTATTGTGAGAGCCGAACGACATGTGCATACACAGCGACATGAAGTGTATACAGTACTACGCGTCGACTATTCATGATTCATTAGCCGTGATCAGATCAGGTGAAGTCGACGCACAACATCCATTCGTTAGGCTGTACATACAATTAATTTACTTTGAAAGCGCAACGTAAAATTATTCATGCAGTTAGCAATGCAACTGCTAACTTTGCATGTTCTTCAGAGAGCGTTATGTAAGTCTACAGTAGTAATAGTTATCCTGAATCGAGAATTTTCGGCGGCGGTAAAGGTTGTTTGTCGTGTTTGTCCAGCCAATCGCAACATGTCGAGTGTCCAGACCTGGATTACAAGCGCGCGAAGCAAGCGCTGCTCGAGTCCCATCAACCGCAATTGATTCAGATCGTGTGTGCCGTGGAATTTGGTGGATTTGCCCGCGATGAACTGTACAGTAAACTATCCAGCGAGTGTTGTTTTCTCGCCTACGCTTGGGCGTCAACAGCTCTTCCACCGAGAGAGAAAATTGCTGCTCAGCGCTGGCTGGCTATGTGCAAAATCGCCGGAGCTGCAGCCTGCAAGTGCAGGCCACCGGTTGTCCAATTGGTGTGTGCCAGCAGCTAAAGCGGCTGTTAAAGCCGAGGCGTGCGGCGCCTCAACTCGAACAGACCATTTCAGAACTCGCCGTATAGAGCGATGACCTCTCCGGCCAAAATGTCAGCCACGCCGGCGCAACTACCAACGTACAACTCGTTTGCGTCGCGCAAGAGGTCTTCGCCGGCCGTCAAACCACTGCCCGAGGACGTGGCGTGGCTCAAGGACATCACGCTCGAGATGACAACGACCAATTCAATCCGCGCTGCTGTGAAGTATAACTTGCGTGTAGACTACCACCCGGCGGGTTTCACTGCCACACACTGGGACGTCAAGCGCACATTCGACCAGTACAAGGCGTTCCAGAAGCGTCTGCTGCGCCAGCTCCAGCCCAAGCACAGCTGCAAGGCAGAATGTCGCTGGCTCTACAACACTGTCAAGAAACACTATCCTAAGCCGACGCTACTAGGCTCACACTACCCGCCGATCGTCGATCAGCGTCGAAAAGCGTTGCTGCAACTGCTAACGACCGTACAAGCATCTGTGGTGAACCATGGCAATCGCAACTGCAAAGTTATGATGGAAGCCGTGAGTCAAGAGCTCGCTGTCTTTCTCGTGGGCGACGATACTCAGTGCGCCGACGACGTGACGCCGCCGATGACGCCTACTACAGCTTCGGAGCTGGAGACGCCCGCCAACTTGTTACCGTCTTTCACACCTACCGTCTCATCGGACGAAGGCGAGGATGAGGACGAGGACACCGTCAACTACGACGATGATTTGTTCACAGGCTGGAGCTTGCCGATGGAACATCTCACCCTCGACCGTACTATGAGCTCACCCGTGTAAGCCACGTATCTACTGTAGTATTTACCTAAAACTATTAAAGCAAGTAACTTATGCAACCACGATATCAAAATGTTCCTGGATTCTGGATTCTGCTACCTAAATCCCAATGAAGTGTTTGACGCTGATCCGGATGCCATGTATGACGTGGAGATCCCTAGAGCTGGTCGTACTGTAGCATCAAAGACGAGCTTTTTGCACAATTCCGCAGCAGAATGCGTGCGAGCTATTATTAATATAGCTACAGTTTTATACCTACTGTACTTGTATTAATACAGCCTCCAGATGGACGGGTGTTGCCACCACCACGTGTATTTAATAGAACTCGATGATTGAGTGAGGGTCTCTGCAGGCTGCACCAGAGTCTGCTGGTGCATGTGTTAATACATGTACAGCTTACTAAGCTGCTTAGGCACCGCATCGTCTCATCGACAACCGCGCGAAGCTCAAACTTGGAGGACGAAGCCATCCATCCGCTTGGTTTGCTGGAGCTTAGTAACGCAAAGGTAGGAAGGAACACGGCGTTGTTTCCGTCGTCGTTGGCGTTGTTACGAATGACAAGCAACAAGATGGGGTAAAGATTCGGAGCCCTCGGATGTTTGCAATGGAGCGGAGACCGACGAAGAAATAAGTCGTCGGTCAGGAGCCACGTCAGCGGCGTCGTTCTCGATCAGAATCTTGTGGCGCGCAGTGCAAGTCGCTGGCTCCGTCTCTCGCCTTGCTCGTCGACGATGTCGTCCGCTCGTGTAGCCAAACAACAATGGGCCGAAACGGCGATGTTGATGCAGTCCAACGTCGTGATGACTGGACGCAGCAGTTGAACAACAAGCTCGATTACGCGGCAATCATATTCAAACTGGGCGCCGATGTCTTACGTTTTGGGGTGGAGTTTTGCAGGTTGCCGCACTGACACCCTCGAATCATTTTGAAGCTTCTCTTCCGTCCTTCTCTCTTGTGGATACATGTACACTGTCAAATAAATTTTCCTTCTTACAAAACGTGAGTGAAATTGATCGTAACGCATGTTTTGTCCAATCGCATGCCGCAGTTCCGACCATTCGATCATTCAACGACCGGCTCATTCTACAACCAGTCACTACTGTAGAGTGAGAAGAAGTGAGGCCAACCGAAAAGCGCAGAAGGATCTAACAACTTTGCCCAACCGCAAAAAACAATTTTAGAAACAGGACAGCAGGCATTGCACCAATGGTGGGCGCTACGATCGAGAACTCGAGCAGTACCGCCAGCACCAGTAGCAGCAACAGCAACAGCAACAACAGTGGATGTGCCGGCTCGGCCCCCCGCTCGGCCGCGTGCCTCAGGCGTGCAGGACCCTTTGTCGTTCCCGATGCCGTGGCGTGGCTGGACCACTTGACCATGCAGCTTGAAACTGACACTGCAGGGGGCAAGACGCAGTACCAACTGACTATGAAGTACACACCCAACCAGCAGAAGCTCGAATCATGCGCCACGTGGACCGTTAGCCGCGGCTTCGACGAGTATCGGGCCTTCCAGAAACGGCTACTCAAGCGCATGCAGCGCGGGCACTCGTGTGGCGCCGAATGCAAGTGGCTTTACAAAGTGGTCAAGCACTATTTCCCTCAGAAGTCGCTGTTCTGCAACAATTGCCCCAAAGTGGTGGCGGCACGGCAACAGACACTTATCCGCTGTCTCACCACAGTACAGGCATCACTTGTAAACCGCGGCAATCAGAGCTGCCGGGTGCTAGCACACGACGTGGCTGCCGAGTTCAATCGCTTCGTGGTCAAAGGCATGAAGGACCTGGAGGCTAACGCCATAGCTGATGACTCGCGGTCGTTCGAACTCAGTGCCATCACACGCGATTCGCTGGACTCACTCGACTCGGAGAGCGAAGACGATAGTGACTCAGAGGACGAAGAGGAGGAGGAGGAGGAGAGTGACTGTGACGCCTGCCACAGTCGACACGTCGTGTGCCGTACCCACAGCAACCTCAAGGCATAGAGGCAAGTAGCAAGAGAAGTTGTAAACTAGATTTTATAGGCGTCGATCAGCCGTCCAAGGAAAAGTCATTGGAGACTTCCGGTTAAAGAAAATATCAACTTGGTGCAGGTCGCGTTTCAACCGCGCAATGCGTCAACTCACTGGGACATGAGAGCAAGATTACGACGTGAGAGGTTTACCACCCCGATAAATCTCATCATTGACAGCGCATGAAAAAAAAAACATTCTTGTCGCAGTCGAAGGCTGCCCATTTCAACGGATCTTTGAGCCCATGTATCGCTTTTAGCTTCTCCACTGAAAAGACGCCGAGTGGCTTCACTTGCACTCTTCCAACAATCATGGTAGGCTCTCGTCGCGTACGGAGGCGGTCCGTGCCAACTTGTCCATTCCTCCCGACGTATGTGGCGCTGCTAGAGCCGCTGCACCTGAGAATGCAATCCGCTCGCGACAGCAAGCGGCCTCTCTTCATCCTGCAAGTCCAACGACGCAGTATTTCCAACAATGACAGGCACAGCTCGGCCGGTAGCAACAACTACTGGAGCGCTCCACGTCCATTTGAGGAATTTGAGGCGCTGCACAAACGGATGATAATGGCACTTCAGCACGGCCATTTTTGCAACGCGGGATGCCCATGGCTTTTCTCGTTCCTAACAAGTGAGTTCCCGAAAAAACACATTTTCCAGCGGAATTTCAGTCCGAAAACCGTCGAAACACGAAGAGAAAAGCTGCTGGAGCTGTTGACGTCCACGGTCGAGTTTCTACTGGACAGGAAAAACCACAAATGCACCGTGGCGACAATCGACGTTGCCAAGCTCTTGGTCGAGTTCCTTTACGGTGATGATACCGTCGCTCACTTCAGTGTGAAGTCGCTCTCTGAGTCGGAGACTTCCTCGTCGAGTAACAACTACAGTCAACTTCAAAGTCTAGGCGTTTGGTGTGAAGGTGGGGGAGACACAGGCAGCCACGACAACAATGCATGTAGTATGCTGAGTATCTGTGGCGTCTGCAACGGGTCCTTGGTCTGTCAAGTGAACGACAGACCGAGAATCAGTCGTGTCAATTCCAGTAGTCGCCGCCGATCCTCCGTCTACGAGACAGTGTTGCAGTGCGGCCACCAATTTCACGATGAATGCATCGTGCCCGTGCTACACGAGACGCTGCGCTGTCCGACCTGCCACCACTTAGAGATCCAGTAGCGATGATGGCAGAAAAGAAGAACTCAAAGGCAAAGGCAGAGGCTTAATAATAACGCCACAGCCCGATGACATGAACCCTTGTGGTAATCCCGAGCAGCTTCAGTTTGTCATGATCAAAACCAAAGTATCCAGCAACGAAGATTAACCACAGGCTAAAAAAGTGAATTTTTCGTCAGTTATGTGCATGTACCTTATATAGCAGTATTTGCTCACGATACAACGCTATCTGGCGCAAACAATACAGTTTCAAATTTAAAACGCCTTAATAATTCTAAGCTGCGATATTTTCGCATATAGCTCAATCACTTTTAATATAACTAGGCTGCAGCTGTAATATTCAAGTATACATAACAGCGTGGTATCATTGGCAAAAATATGTATCTGAAGCTAGTGCGACATCGTATTATCTATAATATATCTGGTTTTCGCGAAATCCTGGCCATTTAATTTGGAAAAAAGTCAAAGCACAGAGAGGAAGCTCAGATTCACTTGTCAATTACCAAGATGCCCAGTACAGCCAGCCAAGTGTTCGACCGCCTCAACCGACAGTGGGAGGACGAGACCTCCAACCTCATTGGCAAGTTGGAAAGTGAGGAAGATGAAGTGTCTCGCTGCTGTATTTGCACTTGTAGAGTACCTGATATTGTACTGGCGAGATGAAATGCAACACCAAACATTGCCCCTTCACAACTTCTCACCCAATTACCCAATTTATATAAGCTTTTTTTTGTTGGAAAGATAATGATTTCTTCTCTTAAGTAGTCATAATCATCCTTGAATATCTGCTCAAATTCACATGCTACACTTAATCGAAAAGTGCGTGTCTTTCGTTCCGCCCAAAAAATCGAGGCTATGTTCTTGACATACGGCATCAGATGTTTTGGTCCTTACAAACTTTAGTATTACAATCAACAATGCCCTTTTTACTCATTTCTATGCACATTTGATCCTAGGAAGTGGGGCTGTCGGCGATGCGTTTATCACTGCATGCAGCAATCCCTACGCTGCTCCTGTAGCTAAAACCAGCTTCTGCAGATGCGTTGCATTCCAAGCTGCATTCTGGCGTAAAGCTTGTCACTTAAGGCTTCTTTGTTTATTAAATATCGCAAGAAATGTTCTGTGCATGCATGATCAGCCGCAGACGTTTGAGCTTCCACCATTTTAATAAAAGACAAGAAAGTCAAACAACGTGTGCTTGTCTGTGATCTCTGTGCTACCCTGTTTCCATTGCGGGTCTGCCGGCATTAATCCGATAATTACTTTTGTATTTATGAGCAAAACAAAAAAATGGTGGTGCATTTCATCTCGCCAGTACAATAGTGTACCGGTATTTATAACAAAGATAAGGTATAGGGTGTCGTTGAAATAGACCGACTCTTGGGTAGAAGCCTCCATAATTTAATTTTTGGGTCACAAATGTAGCCAACTGTATTTCATAGGATCGTACTTATACCAGAAGTAGCATGAGATGCGAAAATACTAAAAACAGCAGGGTAAATGCAAAAAAACAAGCATGTGCTTTTCCAAGAATCATGTTTTCCGGAATAAGATGGAATTCGCATAAAATTAGATTTTATGCGAAATCAAGCACCATACGCTAAGACACACTTTTTGAGACTGTTATCTAATGGTCTGATTACACCGAGCGGCAAACGTTCACTCTTCACTCTGCATCATACGATGCAAATCACGTTCATTACTTTCACGTAGACAGACCTGAGATTGCAGCAATCCGGACGTCCTACACGGCCGCATAATCGCACACAACCAACGGACTCACGTGGCAAACACCTGCCCTTCATTGCCCAATTTGCCTCACAGCGACTTAGCTTACGACGGTTTTTCCACGATAGCAGTTAACAGTACACTTCACTACCTCTACCATTCAAAATGACGTCCCCACAGCCACCCGGAATGTTGTCTTCCAGCTCCTCCATGTCTATGGGCTCACGTCGCCGTCGTCGTCGTCGCGCCACCTTTACCGGTCCTCCGGGTACGCCCGTGAAGAGTCCCATGGCTTCTCCGACGTCAGTCCGCCCTCCGACCATCGCGTACCTCGACCAGTTCGAGTTGAACGTGACAGTCTCTAAAATCAAGGTCGATCACGGTAAGGACGTTCGCTACGACTTGGAAGTGACCCCCATCAGCGACAGTGGTCAGCAGTGGACTGTGAGCAGGCATTCCGAAATAATCATTGTATTGCTGCTTCAATACAATAGTTTACACTTAATTATTGATTTTTACAAATTGGATGACTTTGTCCAATTAGTTATTTTGTATTTACAACAAAGTACTTTATTTTTTCGTAAAATCTAGTTTTTTCTGCTTTGTTTTGCGTAAATACGGAGCTCTCCAGACAGAATCGAATGGCTGTTAGCAACGGTCGCTCAAAACGCGAACCTGAGGCGCTCGTCTATCATTTTTGATCTCACCATGGCTCTCGCCAACACCTTCACGACCAAGCAAGTCTGCAGCTACTTTTTTACTGCCAGCTTGGCGACTTCCAGTCGGCCACCATGAAGCTTCAAGACGACAACGTAACGCTTCTCGATGTGCGCGATATCTTTGATGCGCTCATCGAGAAGCATTCCGTTGTGAAAAAGTATCTTGCTGCCGACGCAAATACGTGGACTTCGAGCGAGCGTGCGTTGTAGCCCTGTCAGGCGCCGTGGACGAGCTGACGAACGACCAGGAGCTGATGCTGCAGCCATTTGAGACGGTACCCGCAATTACGACACCGGACACCAGGCACGGACGCCCACAGGGCTTTGCCGACAGAGTCTTGGCGACTAGAAAAAAGCGGCGCGGTGCAAAGAAGATATTTGATGGTGTGCTTTTCATCCCGCCGACGTCAAACACCGTGGAGCGTCTTTTAGTGTGGCGAAACATACTCTTTTCCACCATCGCCAGCGTATGCTGCCTATTCAGCTTGAAACCGTGTTGTTCCTGAAGATGAATCGGCCTTTCTGGGACGCAAACACTGTAGCAGCTATCGTGAACGCAAAGTAATGTGCAGTGCTGTACATCTAAGTAGTTAATTTTCCAATACACTACTATTGATGTCAATTATTTATTTCTTAAGTTGTAGTTTTTGTAGCAATAGCTTATTTTGGCATGGACCTTCACAGTCTGTGAGTCGCTCGTTTAAGGAGCTACAGAAGTTCCAGATTAAGCTGCTCGAGGTCATGCAACTCGGTCACTTGTGCCACGCCGGGTGTCCGTATCTGTATTCGATCATGAAGGGTCGGTTCCCGAAGGAGTGCTATCTGTACTCGTCCAGCTCCTACGTCATGAGCAAGCGTCGCCAAGCCATTGAAGAATGTTTCACGACACTCCTTGAAGCGCTTCGCAAGCGTGAGAACCACTCGTCCTGTAGCATTCTACCGGGGACAGTGGCGCTGGAATTCATCACGTTCCTGAACGAGGCCCTGCCAATCGACCACGAGTTCCGTTGGGAGAATTTCGTGAGCTTCTCTAAGACACCCAGTTGTAGCTCAACGTGGTACAGCACAGACGACAGCAGTCGCAGCCTCTCCACTCCGTCAGGCCTCTCAAGATGCTGGCAGTCGAGTAGTGACAACAGTCTCCAGTCGTTTCGATCAACTGGCAGCAACCAGAGTATGCTGCTGGACACATGCGGGTTGTGCCCCAGCGACGACGCGGCCAAGGGGGCGTTGACCACATGGAGCTGCGGCCACCGATTCCACGACCAGTGCGTCGTGACCAAGCTCAATGAGACGCTGGCGTGCCCCACCTGTGGCCAAAAGCTCTGAGCTGAGACCCAGCATTTCCGGCGTTTCATGTATTTTTATTAATACATTTTGCACTTTCACTTTGTCTGAGTTGCTCCATCGATCTTATCATCAGAGACAACTGTGTTCAAATACATCAAAGTCAAGGAGCATCATCCTCAAATTGGCGGGTATCACACACGCGCCTCAATTCCTTTTGCATCTGGCTAAGTATAAGCATAAGACTGGCTAGCAAAATGACCGTTTGTGATGACGCCAGCCTCTCAAATTGGAGAGAAGATTTTGTGCTACAACGAGCACCTTGTACTCTCCATTTTGACTCTTTCGAGCGAGAACGGGATCCCTGAATTATGAACGCCAAACGACTTCGCAAGAAGCGGTCGCTTCCTACCGGACCGATGCCGTCCCAAGTGGCGTGGCTCGAGGGTATTTCGATGAACGTGACGCCTCTCGTCTCCAGGCCCCGAAATTCCTGTCGGATCGACTATTTGCTCACGGTGACATGTGAAGGCCGCGAGGCAACAGAACTGTCCACCTGGCACTTGGTGCGCAGCTTCGACGAGTTTCGGTTCTTCCGCAAACGTTTGACAGCGAATTTGCAGCGTGGGCATTTCTGCCACGCCGAGTGTCCGTGGCTGTTCACGTTTCTAAAAAGCTACTTCCCCAAGTCTCAACTGGTCGGAAATTCGCTTACGAAAGTAGTGGAACGACGACGGAAATCGTTGACGCGCAGCTTGGCGACGATCCGCAGCTTCTTGCTGAACAGGTCGAATCATGTTTGTCCGTTGCTGATGAAGGGCATAGCGTTGGAGCTTCTGGAGCTTGTTGTGGGGAGCCACCAAGAAGCGGATCACGATCGACATGGAGACGTTCCCGAGTGGCTCCGACAACTACTGCAAAGATGGCAAGACGGAGAACTCGATCCGGAAGAATCTACGTGCTCGGAAGACACGCAGACCGATGACTCCAGTCAGGATAAGGACATTTGCTCGCTGTGTGACCGTCCGTTGGTGGGTCATCCTCGTACGGAAGAGATTGAAGGCGATCGGTGGTCTCAGATCGCTGCAGTCGAGCCTTTCTCGTCGCTAACCTGCGGCCACAATTTTCACGACGAATGCTTGCTTGGCAAGTTTAATGAAGCTCTTCAATGCCCAACCTGTGGCCGCAAAGAGGATTCATAAGCCGGTTCTGAAACGACCACGTATGGTGGGGTAAATGTGAACGGACTGGCACGCCAATGAAGCACAGTACTGTACTACTAAGGAGCTACATTATTAGAATGAAGTACATCCTTATCTTGCATCATCAGGAAGTTCCAAATTTGACGACAAAGGCTGAGAACAGCCCGTCGACCGTCGAGACTGGGCCCCAGTCTGGGGAGTCCAAAAAAATGCTTCGAATTTTTTGTACATGTAGCACTGTGCTACTAGCACAGCGCTAGGATATTTGTCAGGTTTTCAGTTCGCCTATCGCTTTTGCAATCCAAGAGAGTTGCTGCACCGCCACAGCTTCGGCATTTTGCGCGGATGTGCTCAAGTCAAATCTTGCGCAAGCTTGTGGTGCCTCCTTCAAGAAGATTTCCTTGGTCACCGCAGTATTCCACGATGCAGAGCGAGTATCGCCTCCAGTGGGGAGACCAGCAATGGAAACTGGAGGGCCACAATGTGGCTCTACGGTTCATGTCGATGTCATCGCAATCGATGCTGGCATAGTGTTCTGCAGCTCAAAAACAAAATGAAAACTGGATTTCGTCTGATTACGACGAGTGAGTACCAATACTGTACTTGATTGCCACACGCTCTACATGTACTTCGTGAGGAAGTTGGCGGTTGCAACACTGTTTGCCAACAGCACTCTATGGAAGTACAGTCGCAGCGAATGCATCAGTAAAGCTGGCGATTCATTCATCTTGCAAACAAAGACCGCAAATTACCAACGTAAACTGCACTTTGGTCGCTGCGTTGTGTGTGGGATCCAGGCGATGTAGGATGACGGCTTCTCCTATGGTCACAGTCGATCTGTGGCCAGATAAACCCCCTGAAAGGAACAAAGCGCCAACGCAAGGATTCAAAGGGCCATACAGTAACTCGAAAGACCTCACATCGCGGTGGTCATTCCTTCAAGTCTCTTTTCGATAAACCGCGTTTGTAATGATACGTCGTTCAGGCAAGAACGTCTCAATCTGCTGTTCTATTTCTAATCAGTTAGTAAGACCAAACGTTCTTAGTTCAGATGGGACTTCAATCTTTGGACGGAGACATTTTCCGACCTTGACTAAAAAAGCCAGACCCCCATCCACGCCGATAATTTTTTGCGTGGGCTCCGACCAAGTGACTTCGATGGCTGCTTCAGCGCTCGACCACGTACAATTTGAGTCCAGCTGGCTTGTCCAACCAAATGACACAGCACGTGAGCCACGCGCGAACCAATCCGAGTTCTCTTCACTCTGCAATTCGCTCCACTCGCGCTTTTTCGCTTCGGTGACGGAGCTCCGAAAACTTCGGCACCTATTGCAACAGTGCCAAATGGAAACTCAATCATCGCGTTCGCCACTGCAGCGCCACCCCAAGTGCTCGGCGCTCTATGCCAGCCGCCTTCGCCACAACTCGGAAGCTACGAAACCAACAGAGGTACTGACTGCAAGTGTCGCCTACTTGGCTAATGTGACGGTTGAAGTGACCACCAAGGCATTATTGACTCGAGACTCGTCAACATTTGCGCTCACAGTACACGACAACAAGTCCAGCTCAACGTGGCGCCATCTCCGATCCTATTCTGAGTGCCGAGCATTTCAGAGTCAAGTACTCAAGGTGTTGAGTCGCGGTCACTTATGTTTTGCCGAATGTCCTTGGCTCTACGCGTATGTGCAACGCGCTCTGCCTGTCGAGCGAACGGGTCACCACTTGTTTCGAGTTGCTGGCCACAGTCCCAAGCCTCGCGTCGTGGAGAACCAGCGTCAAGCGCTTGCCAGACTTTTCGCCACACTGCAACGAGTTTTGCTGAACCCGCTCAACCAGAAATGCACCGTTTTGATGCAACAAGTCGCACCCGAAGTGATTACATTTATCACCAACCGCAGTGGCGTGAACGCAGATATAGCTCTCAATTCTCCCACGAGTAACGGACCGTTGGCAAAAACGTTTTCCGAGTCGTTCATGTTTGAGATTGAAGAGGACACAAAATCAGATGACGAATCATTCGGACAGACTAGCACTTTGACCACTGCGAGTCTCGATGATCTGGACGAAAGTATTCCCGCTGAAGAAGACGCCACTATTGCCGCATTGGACAAAGTGGTGGCTGGCCAACGGGTGTGCTGTGCCATGTGTGCACTGCACAAAAGACGGTCCGACGAACAAGTTTTCGCGTGTTGGCGAGCGGAATCCATGAGCAGTCGGTTTATGAGGCTGCGAGCTGGAGCTGGTGCCGAGCGCATTTCCCTTGTGGCAAAACGCCAGTTGCCTACCCACTCAAACGAATCTCAAGTGAAAAATGGGTGGCAATCGCCAGCTCCGTCGCAACAAGCGATGTCGCCACTGGAACCATTGGCAGTTCTTGGCGATCGAGTATCGGAGGACATGGTGATAGTAACAACAGAACACGAAGGCACACCAACGGAACCTTTCCCAGGATCTCCATGCACTCCTCCAGTCCCTGGAACTCCAAGAGACTCGGTTGCTTCGGCGTCGTCTGTGTGCCAAATCGATCTCGAAATGCTCGACGATTGGTGCCTTTCGAATGCAATTCCGTCGCCAGAGCAGCAGCAGACTGCGCCTCCTGCAAAGTCGTCAGGACTCGAGAGAATTCGTCGGATGCCACGTCGCTCGCTGCTCGTGCTCAACTCGCTCCGCAGCAAGTTCACGACACGAAAGCACTGCGTTATTTAATAGTGACCAAAAAAATAGTCACGCGATGCTAATAGAAAGGTGTTAACACAAGTGGCGATTTCTTTGTTGAATGTGTCCACCGAATTCGACCTTGATCGTCTAGGACCAACGATGTTGTGGACGGCGTTGCTTCGTATAGCTACGGACGGGTTCTTTTACAGCAGAATAAGCCTCGTCGCACGAAACTTTATTCACCTCTTGATTGCCACAATGCTTTATATTTAAGAAAAAAAAACTCGAGCTTTAGAGCTCCCACAGCGAACGCCCGCTCCCATGTAGTACGTCACTGCTGCCGCACTGTTTCTTTTTGAGAGAACGGAACAGCTTCAACGGCGGCCATTACGAATAATCCATGACCAAGTGTCAACATGGATGGTCCGGTAGCATCGACGTGGAGTCCCCATGAAGTAGGTTGCTTCCTTGAATGCACAATCGAATCGTTTGAGTAAGTTTTCGCTTGATTTTGGACTAGGACGACTTGCTCCGTAGTGCTATTTGTCGCCACGGAGTGCGTCGATGGGATTTTATTGCTGCGGCCGTCCCAAATCGCTCCGAAGTTGCGTGTGCGACGCGCTGGGATGAACTCCAGGACCGATGGACCCCGTTGACTCGACGTGCATGGAGCGCAGACGAAGACGAGCTGTTGCGTGGTACGGTAAGGTATCACGGAGCGAGTCAGTGGGCTCTTGTGGCTTCTTTTCTACCGGGACGAACAGCGAAACAGTGTCGTGATCGATGGTGTAACCAACTGGACCCTTGTATCAACCGCGGAGCCTGGTCGGCTGAAGAAGACGCGCTACTGGTGACATTGCAAAGTAATGTGGGGAACGCGTGGTCAAGGATTGCTGCTAATTTGCCTGGACGGACGGACAATGCTGTCAAGAATCGGTGGAACTCGGCTCATTTTCAGAATCGCAGCCGCTGTGGACCAGGGGTGGAGAATTTAACGTTGTCGCCCCCACGACAGGTGCTTGATATTAAAGAGGAAGATTTATCGAGTACAGGAATGACAGTGTTACCAGTACCCGGCTCTTCCGAAGTGGAAACGACGTCAGCTTTTTGTCCAGACGAAGCTGACAATTGGGACTTGTGGACCTTTCTAGCCGACATTCTGCTTGATGACGGTCTTGAGAATACCGGTAGCACAAATATGTAAAGCGGTCGTCACAAGTACATTACCCTGACAGGTGGAAAAGCAAATTTCTGGGCATCTTGGCACGGTTGATTGTAAATACGTAATAGTATAGCTTTTTAAGTGGAGCTTTCATGTTGGTAGCGATCCTACCAGGCCTGCAGGGCTCAAAAGTTCACAGGAGCTGGGTGATAGCTGTTTGCAATCGTCGCAATGATATATTTACTACTTTTTTCTGCAGGTAGGGTAACGTTTAATCTGTTGACGTCTTGGGCAAGTTTTTGAGAATGATATATCCTAAGTAACCCAAACTCTGAATGGGTTTCCTTTTTTTGGATTTAAAGACGTTTTGTTTTAAATTGTAGCACAAGTTCAACTCCTCCTTCGGTCTTTTTTGCCTAAGTAATACTAGATGGTGTGGTCCCAACTGCGGTATGGCCACTCACATTTTAATAAGTCTTTCATTTGGTAGCAGTGCCGTCCTCATATAGGTGCCCAAATCGATCCACAACAAGCTCGCGATGTAAGGACTACTTGAACATTTAAAGTGGAAGCCGCGTGCCGCACAAAATCCATTTAGTTTGCTGCAAGGCAAATTCTACTACATATATTAAAGAAGATAGAAGTTTGCTGTAGGCTTGACCATCGAAATGAGAGGGGCGAACGCCGCTCCCATGTGCAGCACCGACGGCAGAAGATGCCGCAATGTTTCTTTTATCGAAACTTAGATGCCGCCGTGGCATCATGAAACACTTTGCAATGGGCCATTTTGGGTGCGTGGCTGCTAGTTTGCCTAGACGCTCGGTGGATTTCATTTAGCACAATTTCGAAGTACAAAATTTGTGAAGCAGGGGCATGTCTTTTTTTTCATAAATCCAAGAGGCTTATTATTCGTTCGCGTTTGGCTACCGGATTGTACCCGTCGTGGATTTTACCGATTTCAACATCAACTTTCCTTTCTCTGTTTGGGACGTCTCCGTTCCCCCTCCACCCGTGCGCTTACTACTGCTACTACTCACCTTTTGTGGTTTCACTCGTCGGCCTGCAGCGACCTTCTTGACGTTAAACTTGGTCACGTGAGCCACCAACATCACTCGATTCTCAGCAGCGGAAAATGTCTGTCGTTTGCGCGAATATCCAAAGTAAAATAGCGTCAAAAGCGTAGCTACGACCGAGAATACGATGATCTCGATCCCCTTGTTATCTTGGAAAGCCGCCACTGCGATGATAGCTAAAATCCAGATAGTCATCGAGTAGACCGCTCCTGCGATTCCCCACGGACTCCGAAACTCGGAGCTCTTGATGTTGCGATAGTTTTTCTTGAGTGAAATGTAGCCGATGCATTGCCCCGTGTACGACATAAATGCCGATAAAATACAGATCCGGAACAGATTTTCACCCACCGCAGGCACGAAGTACGAAAGTATACACACAGCGTAGCTGAGTGCTGATCCGGCAAGGAGGGCGCCATAGGGCGTCTCGTTCTCCTTCGTTGTTTTGGATAAAATATTCGGCAGAAGGCGTGACATTGCCATGGCAGAGATGAGTTTACCGTAACACCACATAAACCCGAAAGCTGTGGCGAACGTAGCTGGAAGGGATAGAATGGTAGCGGTTTGATGGGAAATATTGAACATGAGTGTAAATCCCCGATTGAGCGGAACGAGTTCACTAGGTAATGAAGCGATGCCTGGTGGAAGTGCCGCAGTCACGAAATACACCACCAAACCGGTGCAAAATAGCGTCCCGACACACAAAACTTGAGCTTTCGGAACGATTTTCTTCGGCTGATCCACTTGGTCACTTGACAAGTTCAACGCTTCCACGCCCACAAAGAACCACGCGGCAAGAGGGAGCGCTTTCATGAACCCAGAAAACCCGTCCACAAACTCAAAATTTGGATCTACCCCATTTTTCCCGAAATCCACAAACGCAAACGAACCTACGCAGTAGATCACAACGACCACGAGGGAAATGACACCGATAGCGAGATTGAATATCCAGAACGCACGACCGCCTTTGATTTGAACGGCAAGCGCGCTGACATAGAAGAGAGTCCATAACAATGGAGCCAGCGGGTCTAACCACGGAACGGCGTCTACGATGAGATCGACGAATGACGTGGTAGAAGCTGAGACATAAGCGATGTATTCTAGAGCTTCACAGCAGCCAATCATGAAGGCAGGATAAAATCCAAGTGTACAACGTGCCAACCCATAGGAACCGCCAGCAAATGGCAGCGCACCAGTGATTTCTGCCGTACAACAACAGAATGTGATGTATGCACTGGCAATCAGGAAATATCCGATGAGAAAGCTGTGAAATCCAGCGCTGATGCCTTCGTTCCAGCAGAAATACTGCCCTCCAATTACAATCGTTATCCCGAGCATGAAGATGTCCAATTTCCCGTGCCTGTATTTGACTTTAGTAGCTTGGTCAGCTGATGGCCCCGACGCTGTTCGAAGAGTTCTTTTGTCGCTACTCGGCAAAATTTGTGCAGATAACTCAGCAGATGGCTGCACTGACTTCGAAGTCTTGAAGATGAGACGGATGGGGAAACCTTTCATCTCCAAGAGATTTATCAAAGTTTTGATGAGGTCTCCTGTCGGTCAGAATGACGATGACGATGACGATCTTTCACTCGGCATGAAATGAGAGCCACCTATTTTTGCTAGTTAAACAAAAGTCTAACAAAAGGTCGTAGTAATTTATTGTTGGTGGATGGCCATTTATTTAAGTTGAAACTGCCGAGGACGCGTGCGTGAGTCATCAAGTGGAGACCTCGGGTTATTTTTCGACATGTCAATATCTAAATAAATATTGATCAATGTTAGAGGTACCGAGTAGCTCGTACTTAAGCGAGTGTTAGGGTTACACTGTGTGAGTGACTCGAGCCACTTCGTGTTAATTGGTCCCGAGATACGTACTAAAGGTACTACGCGAAAATATATTAAGGTAATTTAATTTTAACAGATTAAAAAATTCATCATTTTTAGAGATATCGGTGCTTGCGACGACAGCCAGTCACGCGACTGGTAGCATGAAGTGTTGCTGTAATGTAACTGGAATGCATGAATGTCACCCGAAGGTACGAAGCACTTAGTGAGAATTTTCCTGACGAGTACTGCTAGAGTAGAGCAGACCATGACCAGTATCTTTCACTTTACGCAGCTCAACAGTATCACCGCAGCACGCACACATTGGAATCAACAGACAGAGGCATCACAATGCGAACTACAGGGGTACATTATCTTCATGTTATCGACTTCCTACCTCGCCTACTGCAGGCACTTTAACATGTACCGAAGCCTGAAAAAACGCATTGAGGCATGGCTGAGCTTTTCCGGCATATCGATGCCGGTGAGGTAGCACTCAAAGAATAGTAAAACAGCTGCTCCACAGCTTGAGAAGTCCGGCTGGCGTACATTCGTGACTCTCTGAATCGGCAAGGGTATGGAGCTGTCTTCACCTTCTAAAAACACGTATTTCAGTAGTTCTTCGCATTTGGCGTAATATTTTGACTTGGGGTCTTGCAAGGGGTCGAACACCAGGACTCCTCGACGTTCGCTGCGATAATCGAAAATTGCTCCACACCAGTGGTTGTTGTCTATGTGTAGCGGCAACAGAATGATCTGGTTCGTTTTCTTGAAAGGCTTGCCTGCATTAATAGCCCTGAGCCGGGCGTCTTTATCGTGGAAACGATTGAAGATCGGGTTAACGATGCCAACATCCGGGTGTTCTCGTTGGAGTAGAGCAATCCCATGCCCCATGCATGAATCATCCATCCACATATTTTCTCGAAGCGTTAGTAGTCCGTTATAGGGCACACTACCGAACGAAGTCTCGCGGCCACCCTTCAGAAGAATCCGCCTGATAATAACTTCCCGTTCTGTCGGATCGCTGCTGACTCCGTCATCAATCTTTACCGGTAGAGACAAGCGCTTGACGCTAGTGTTGACAGCCCAAGTAATCGCATCTTCAGTGGCAGATAAATACTGCATGGAGGCGTGCCATCGGTCCATCGCGACAATGTCCTGGTATTGGAATATCCCAAAGCGAGGAACTCTTACACCAATAGTGTCGTCATCGACAGTTTCAATCAAGCCTTTTCGAAACGCTGCGACCGCAGCCAGGCATTTTTCCACAAATTGTTTTGGAAACACAAATCTGACGTCACAGATGCACTCATCCTCAAGATAAATACCAGCATTCGCCTTCTCGGTCTTTGGAACAGCTCGAATAGTGAGATTGGGTAGCACCTTCTTGGCGTCTACATAGGTGTAGTTGTTGTCCAACAGTTTAGCAATGTTCCGTACGCTTGGAACTGGTGCCAGCGTCCCTTGTACCAACTTGGAAGCCTTCTTCTTGCTATTCTCGATCCTCTGCTTCTTTTCTGCTTTTCCTTGCTTCTTTCTGACTTGGGGACGTCCCCGACGTTTTGCGCTCTTTGTTATCACAAATGACCCAGATTGCGAGGATTTTGACGAACTGCTGCTAATGTGCTGGCGCTTGGACTGGCTTGGATTTTGTTTGAAATCAGACATACTTGCTGCATCCACCTCTGGGGTGGTTAAAGTCACACAGGAATTGCCTCTAGTTACACACAGTGGTTCTTGTGTAGCAGGAGGGGTCAAAGTCACGTGGGAAGTACCTCTAGTCACACACGGTGTAGCTGTAGGCTCTTGCATTGTAGCTGTAGCACATTGCATTGTAGCTAGAGGTGCGCTCTGTTGAGTCGGAGGTTCGTCATCGTCCGAGTTCGCTGTGGAAGTGTTCTTGTTTTTTCTTCATCTTCCGTATCGCTTTTCATCACAGCATCCTTTGGTTCAACAGCATTGGTATTTAACGTAGGCGAAAATGTCAGCGACGATAGCTGTGAAAGCGGGTCTACCCATTCACCTTCTCGACCAACAAATGGTGCAACACCGTCCTTGATAATGTCTTCAAATTTCTCCAAGGCGTTCATCATTTCTCCAAATACATACGTTCCGTTCCTGCTCATAATGTCTGCAATACTCTTTCCACACTCGAGAGCGTGCTTGTACTTCGTCGTCCCATTTAAAACGTGATGGCGCCTTGCTGTCATAGCAAAGTCACGGACTTGGAAGGTTGTGCACGCAACTGTTTTGTCTGGTACGTCTTCTTCTGGCGCAGGTTGATTCAGCTTGCACGACAACCTCCAACGGGGTGCAATGTACCGAATAGGAATTGCCTGTTTTCCACGTAAAAGACGCCAATACATGACGTGCCGGCATGGAAGCAACATCGTCTTCATGAATACACATGAGCAGTGATATCTCTAAAGGCACGCAATAACAGCGACGTACGTTAGGGTTTGCACGGGCCAGAACGGGTGACAAACTTACCGTAGTGTCGACATGATAGCATGTACTGGTGTGGCCACCTCCGGTCAGGACAAACAGGCTGGAATGTATTTCCTCCACGCCGTAACTTGTCTTGCGATCCTTAGACGCCCAATACTGCTCTTCAACAAGCCGGTACGCATACGGGCTGACTTCGCGCGCTAGCTGTTCAAGCTCATCATAACGCATCTGGCCCACGTCTGTAATTTTCTTTCCGTACTCCATATCTGCTACTGCTTGCAAGAACATCAGCGTATCTACGCACTCATCCAGCGCCATCTCCGGCTTCAGAACCTCTTTGATATGACCCCATGATGTTTCAAGCCTACAGACCACCAAACCACCAGGCAAAAACACAATTAAAGGTGAGTCTAGAACCTATAGCGCAAGAAATTGTACCTATTATTGATGTGGTTGCGTAGATGTGGAACATCCGAACGTGCGTACAGCGCCATCGTTCTTTCATCGAATACCAGTTCTTCATGAAGTACTTCAAAAATGGATGCGTAGGCACAGGTACAGGGTCTTCACGTTTAAGACGAACACCTTCCAGCAAAAAGTATAGATACTTCAGATACTTAACGTACTCATCCGTAGAAACCGCCAGCCGCATCATATCGATAGCATCTTCAACTTGGTCTTTGTCGAAGCTGGACGGGCCTCCATACTCGCTCTTTGCCAGCTCGGTCCGAATATACTTCTTCAAATGGAAGTGACACAGAATCACTTTCACGCCAGGGAACCTCCATTTCTAGTAATCCCAATTCACCCATGTCCTTGTCAATCACAATTACCCTGACTTGCTCCCACGAAGAGTTGTAAACTTGAACGACCCGATAGCATCTGAAAGACACTCTGCACTTTCGTTCTCCATGAGACTGTGGTGTACGTATTGACCCTAGCATTACGTTAACAACTCATAAGTAGCATTTGTACATATCAAGTACATGTTGTAGCTGAAGCTACGCAAACAGTAAAAGTGTAACTAGAGGCACATAGGATGTAACGTCAGGTACATTTACTTACATGTCCGTACACATCGTTAACCATGAACGAGAAGAGCTTGTAGCGCGATTCGTTGGTGTTATGCGTCGCGTCAATGAGCATCACTTCAGGAAAAGCCTTGAACCAGCGTCGCATTTGTCTCGTCTGCAACGCGATGGTCTGTGCAGTTTTGGATTCGTCGACGTAAACGGTTGCTCGGTTTCCACGACATTCGCAAATCCCTCGCAAGACAGTCTCCAGCCGTTCTTCAGTAGTCGCACCTCCCCTTCGTCTCTCCTTCATCCTCGCCACCATGTTGTGTACATCTCGAAGCACCACATTTTTTCCTACATGGAGTCCAAAACAAGAAAGCTATCAGTCACTATATATAATTTTGGGTTGAGTTAAGCGCACCCACCTGTCTTCTTTCGCAGGAACTGCATAATTAGCTTCGGCTTAGAACCAGCAGCTTGGAGTTCATCCACGAATGCCAGTATGTCCGGATCCTCCACGCGACGGTTCGACACATGGTTCTCAAATGTAGCGCGAGACACATTGTGGTTGTGTCTGACGTCAAAGTCAGTGACGCGTACCATGAACGTGTCGTGTTCATCGTTCCATACGACAGCAGCCTTAATGTTTGCCTTACAGCCTGTAGTCCTCTCGAAAAACGACCTTCGTATCCCCTTTCCACGGCTCTTGCGCTTCCACCCGTGAGTGCAGACCAACTTAATCCAGAAATTTCCGAACTCCTCAGGGATCAATCGATCCGACGTCTCATCAGTAACTGTGTTAGTCGTGCCGGAATCATCTGGGTCCTTCGCATTAACACTCAGGTTTGCTCGCGCCTTAATTTCTCGATTTCTCTTTTGAACCGATGTGGACGTGCGCTGTGGAAAGATCTGGTGTGTCTCCTCTTGGTAGCGCTCCATGTATTTGCGGAAGGCATCCCAGCTCTCATGCCACTCGACATCAACTGGGGGACAGAGCCACGAGACCCCAGGAGGGACTTGCCGATCGGGTTCACTGTCGCTCATTCTGATTGCACACATGAGAACCACAGAATACGCTCTTAGCTTACCTCCCCCCTCTAATCTACATGAACATGCATGCTTACCTTCAGAGCTGTCGTGTGTCTTCGTCTCGTATTAGAGTTTAGGAGGGGCGCGTGGCTGATGTAGTGCGCGGGAATTTTTTGGAATGAAAGGCTCATAGATATTGAGGATGGGAGAAAGGGGGGAGAGGGGGTGTCTTTTTCAGAAATCTTGTTTTTCAGAACTGAGTTGAAATTTACCTCGGACAGTATTTTATCGTCAAAATTACGAAGGTACTACTGTAATGTTTCGTGTAAGTACTATTTTACTCGGTGCCGCTAACCAGTTCCATAAATATTACTTCCTCCGTCCGAAAATATAAGACCAGCGCCACACATAACACTGTCCGAAAATATAAGACTAAGCTCGGTTCGTATCAGCCGAACTTAGCAGATTTATTGCCTTCTGATAGATTCTGTCACTACAAGCTAGGGACTGCGGGAGAAGACCACGGCTATCCGTCAACGTGGCTTTCGAAAGATGGGGGATGGCGTACTTGTTGCTTCCGTCAACGTCCATAGAAGCCATCAGCACAGATTGTAGAGAAACAAAAACTCTATCTAGAGCGCTGTAATGAAGCTGCTTGAAGGCTTCGTCGACATTGTTGACCAGATCTTCGATAGTTTTAGCCTTCTTCTTGTGCTGGAGCGACTGTATGGAGCTAAAAAAGCCGAGGTCGAGAGCATTAAAATCCGGTGAATTAGCAGGTTGTGGCTGAAGGCGCATCCTCCACCCGCCCTCCGCACATGCCGCAAGTACAGCAGGATCATCCGCAGCCACATGGGGTTTTGCGTTGTCGTGCTGCAAGATGACTCGCTTGCCCGAAGGCCAAAGGGGCCTTAATGCAAGGAATGACCGACCGGCAAAGACACTGCCGATAGATGTCACGAGTCACTGCGTATGTCTTCAGTTCCAACGTCCCCGCAGGCCGATTCTTGCTTGAACGCTCGGCCGGTTCGTAGATAGCAAATGGCCACAAGCCAATTTTCCCATCTCACACTTTATGTTGCCTAGGTACCCAACGTGGGCGAGCCACAGCAACAAGAAACATCACTTTAACAATATAATTCTTGTTCTTGACCGTCGTATGGGGATCCTCCTCGTGTTCAGCCAAATAGAAGCGCTGCTTCTCCTTAGCTAGGTAAAACCACTTTTCATCCAGGTGCACATACTCCATCATATTGTCGATCTGCAGCCCATGTCTTCCCGTCTTCTGAACAAATCCAGAGGCAAACCGAACTCGAGCAACTCTCTGCTCGTCACTTAGCATCGGTTTCAGGCATGCTGTGTGGCATCTGAACACCCCCGAGAGAAAATAGTCATGCAGAGTAGATTTAGACATACCGAGGGAGTCAGCTAAAGTACGAATGTTGGTTCTGTCTTTGAGCGGCGTAAGTGCGATGGCGTGGTTGAGGTCGAGGCGGAACTCCTCCGTTAGCCTTGACTTGCGGCCGCTTTTCCCCTTTCTGCCGCTGGAGTAGTTGATAGATTTGCCTTCATGAATATCCTGGGCCACTCGCTGCCACAGCCGCGCGATCTGGCGCTCGCTACAGCTAAAATGGACTGCACAGGCGGCGAACTCTGCTTTGGGCGGCTGCAAGTTTACGCTTGAGCGCAGAAGAGCTGCGACGACTTGAGCACGCTCTTCTGACGTGAGGTTCTTCCTTTTACAGCGCGCGCCGTCGGTGTTAGAGCTCATCTGGACTTGTTGCGAAGAATAAAAGGAAAAATGAAGAATGTGGCCGTTTTGGAACGACCATAGCTCGTCAACCACTCATTCAAAATGCGAGCGAAAAGCACCAGGTGCTTTTACGCATGTTTTAGACCAATCAGACACCAATAAAACGCGCTTTTGACGCTAAAACGATTTTAACTCTAAAACATGCCTTATATTTTCGGACGGAGGAAGTAGCTTTGATTGGTATCGTTGCTTATCATAAAGAAAGTAGTACGATGCTGACCTTCAGTACTTCTGGCGCTTCTACCAGATCTCATGGACCTGATAGATTTGGTCGATTTCCCTATGGCTTCAACTTGCTTAGAGCGTTTTCCTTCTGAAGCCTCAGTATGATGACTGTTGTTTGAGGTGCTAGTGCTTTGGTTCTTACTGCGCTGCAGCAACCTTCTTAATGTTGAATTTAGTCACGTGAGCTACCAACATGACGCGGTTTTCTTGGGGAGAGAACGTCTGTCGCTTCCGTGCGTATACAAAGTAGAAGAGTGTCAACAGAGCAACGACAGTTATGAAGACAAAAGTCTCCACACTGCCATTTCCTTGAAATACCACGATTCCGACGATACTGAGCACCCACACTAGCATCGAATAAAGAGCTCCCCACGACCCGAACGGACTGCGAAACTCTGATATTTCGGTAGTTGTGCTTCAGGGAGATGTAGCCGATACACTGACCCGTGTACGACATGAAGCCGGCAAGCATGCAAATGTTGAAGAGATACTGTCCGATCGATGGCGCCCAGTACACCACGAGGCAAAGAGCATAGCTGACAGTCGTGCCAGCAATGAGAGCAGCGTAAGGCGTTTCATGCTGTATCGTGGTTTTGTTTAGAAATGAAGGCAGTAACTTGGACGTCGCCATTGCCACAATAAGTTTTCCATAGCACCACATGAATCCAAACGCGGTGGCGTAAGTTGCTGGTAGAGATAGCACAGTCGCGAGGAAAATCCAAAAGCAGTGTGAATCCATTGTCGAAGGGAACCAATTCGGTAGGTAGAGACGCTATTCCAGGTGGCAATGACACAGTGATAAAGTAGACAAAGATCCCAGTTCCGAAAAGTGTCAAGACGCATCCGACTTGAGCTGTGGGGACGACATGTTTGGCCTGTTCGACCTGGCCGCTGGCCATCGGTAAAGCTTCGACACCAACAAAGAACCAGGCAGCAAGAGGAAGTGCCTTCATGAAACCTTGGAACCCGCCCACAAACTCTAAATTGGAATCTGCAGCGTATCTTGCAAAGTTGACGAACGGGAGTGAGCCGATACAGTAAAGAAGCACGATCAATAACGATACAACACCTAACACGAGATTGAAGACCCAGAACGCTCGACCACCTTTGATGTGGAATATCAACGCACTCAAGTAAAAGAGACCCCACAATAAAGGACGGATTGGCTTCGCCTCTGGCACCGCGTCCACGACGAGGTCAACAAACGCGATTGTTGAAGTTGAGACGTACGCGATATACTCGAGAGCTTCGCAACAGCCAATCATGAAGGCAGGATAGAATCCGAGCGTACAACGCGCGAGCCCATAAGCTCCACCTGCGAACGGTAAGGCGCCGGTGATTTCAGCCGTACAGCAACACAAAGCGACGTACGCAGTTCCAATGAGAAGGTAAGCGATAAAAAAACTCCAGAGACCAGCAGAGATCCCAGCGTTCCAACAGAAATACTGGCCACCGATGACAATTGTGATGCCAAGCATGAAGATGTCCCATTTCCCGGGTTTGTAGCTGTCTGTAGTGTTTTTAGCGGCTGGTCCTACAACGGACCCAGCAGCGCGAAACGTTGAGGACCGTGGAGATGGTCGTGACGTGTTTGCCTGCACTTGAACAGACCGGATAGACTGTTGCATCGGAGCAATCGACACTTTGGTCATTCTGTTTACAAAGGCGACCAGCTGATCGAATCGTTCGTAAACTGCGCGGTAAGCCTCAGAACCAAGAATAACACGTTCTTCTTTAGAGCTGACAAGGGCAACAAACAACTCCATACGTTTTTGCGATAATACATTACACGTACATGTTCCTACCTCAAAATAAGTTATTCGTGCAGCTACTACAGTATTGTAGTATAAAATAAGCTCACGTTTGAGCACAGTCACGCGTGCATCGGTTTCAGGTCCGTTTTCACAGATTGTCACCCTAGCGCATGACAAAATCTTACCTCGGCAGTGTCTTTACTTTTCTCGCAAAGGTGGCAGCTCGCGGTGCCTCTGAACACGTAAAAAAAAATCGAGCATCACTGTCCAGGACCCACGAGCTGGTTGCCCGTCGTTACCTGGAGAGCTGGCGAAGTTCTATGAAATAGAGAAGCGACTCCCGTTAATCCGCTCCAACTTAACTCTAATCTAATCTTGACTTGCAAGAGACTCCATGTACTTCTTCTGCAGCTCGAACGCCACGAGGGTGATGCCAAAGAGCGGTGCCTGCACCATCATACGCGGCCCCGCGCCCTTCATCAGAGCCGTGGGTCCATTTGCAGACACAATTTTCCGGACGCAGTCGACCATACCGGTATACGGAGATCCCTTCATCTGCAGCCGTGTCTTGATCACATCTGCTGGTGTGCAGATCGCAGCAGCGCCAGCGCCGGCCACAGCTCCAGCGGCCACAATAGAAAGCACCGAGTTCTTACCCGTGGTCTTGTCTGCCCAGGCGTCACGCAGTGTAGCGTACGACGGGAAGAAGAGGACAGCGTACGGCACATCACGCAAGAAACACACACCTGCCCCCTTGTACACGCCTCGGATTCCCAAACTCCGTGCGATCTCCAACGCCGTTTGTCGTTCTGCTACTGGCAGCGACGTCTGCATTTGCAACCGGATCTTGACGATCTCAACCTGCACAATTTTAGAATTCTGTTAGCGAAGTGCTCTAAAAACACCCTTTCAAACACTAATTAGATTCGTACCGGATTCGTGATGATCGATTGCGCACACCCGGCGCCTGCACCGGCCAGCGCCTGCTTGCCCATTGATAGGTTGCCGTTTGCGTCGGTGAAGTATTCTCGGAGCTGCTCGTTGACTGCGAGTTTGATGGCCTTTTCAGGTAGAACTCCCATGAGAGTAGGAGGTAGGCCGCGGTACAGGCCGCGCAGGCCGTCGGTGGCAACAATGTGTTTAAAGCATTGCGCAGGTCCAGAGAACGTCATGCGTCCACCCGTGCGTGTCTGGCCCTGTAGATGCGTCTTGACGATGTCCATGGGGAAAGTGGTGACCATTCCAACGGCGCCTGCCATACCGCCCACAGCAAGTTTTAAGTGGAGCGGAATTGCAGTGGGGGTTTGCATGGTCTTGGAGGATGATGCAGCCTCTCGGGACGGCAACGAACGCACTTTGAGCGGAGAAATATGACGGAGTGCAGCGGAGGACGTCATTCTGGATTTATTGGCAACGGGAGGCTGGAGATGAAGCAACGAGACCGGAAAAACAGGAATGAACCAGTGCAAAGGCACTTGAACGCATGGTGGCGAGTAGATAAAGCGCTGGGGCGCACGCAACAACCTCCAAAACGCACACTGCACCTGGTTCAGGAAGCTCACTTGCTACCAGCCGTTTTATTCTGCTTGGAGGCTTCGTCGCTACGTTTAGCATTGCTAAAAGGGTAAATAAGGCAAAACGTTCGGCGGTTACTGTGGCTTTTTGGGTAGTAACGGATTTATTGTCAGAGCGCATTTGTATTTTTCGGTAGATGATTTGGGCTCATCTTTTTCTGAGACAGCGGTTGGGGACAGCCGTTGGGGACACTTTTGCTCGCCAGTCACACTGTGCGTATTTTGACTTGTTTTGGCTGGCAGACGCACAGTTTGGCGGGAGCAAGGCATATCATTGATGCACAACCGGTGCTGCTCAGCTTTTTCCGTGTTTGCTTGGGGACCCTTTGCCAAAACTCGTGGTTGTGCATTCGAGGTCGACGCATATCGTTGAGGAATTTAACTCGGTTGCTGCTTGGTGCGAGTTGAAGCACTAAAATAAGTATTCTCGCAAGTAAAAGAAGCAGTAGGAAGCTTAAGGCGATGCTCCAATTGTGCCGCTTGCCACCTGAAAGAATGTTCTCGTGGTTTGAGAGAGCGCGGAGATTACTGGAAGTGCTCATGCGCTTAACGATGCTTTGAAGAAAACCCGCAGTTGCCAGAGACAGACCCTGTCTTGAAGAGTGCAGCACTTCAGCTTTTAACACTGCCTTTGCATGGAAACGCGCTGTCAAACGATAGCTTGGTCTTACTATGTGTTCATTTGTAAATATTTTCGTTAATCAAACTGTGGACGAACTCGCTGTCAGCGAGCGAGTCGCTGATAAGTCACTCTTTTACTCCCATATTACTAATAATGAATCATAGTTTACCATTACTCATTTAAAACAGCAGAATAAGTATTATAAAGAGTTAAACCTACAAAAATTGGTAGTGCGTCAGCTTAACTTATTTGCTCGCGTTTACTCGCCATCGCCACATTTCATGGCTGCTGTATAGGGGGCAAGGCTATTAGCGTTTTTCGCACGTGGGGATGCTTACTGGGCGTCGGCGTGTAAAGAATACATAATAGTAAGTGAATGGCCAGATACGCTCGTACAAATTTAGATATTAATAGGAGGCGCTATTTTTATATGTTGGCTATGGCGTCATACGATTTGGACTTTCTTGTAATAAAGCACCCCACAAAAGAAATATTCCTATTCTTTTTTACGACTGAGGGGTGAGAGGGGAAATTAAACTTAGGTTTTTTAAATACGCATTCTTATCGGTATTGAGGGAGTATTCCAATTCTAATTATTTTTATTACTTCCGAGGGCTCCCTTTTGATTAACAAAGAATAAATGGTTATCAGCCCGAGCTTCCTCTACGCGGGTGCAACACCTCTCGACACCATGCCTAAGTGGGATACGGCGAAAAAAAAAGATGGAATGAACAACATAGCATGGAAGACTCGAGACTCGCTCCTTATCATCGACAGGTTTCCCTTCTTGAGTGAGTTTGTCGGCGATCGTCTTCAGCTTGTTGCGGTGCGCCGTCATCTCCTGTTCATCTTCGTATCTTAAAGAGATAAAAGCTTCCCGCAGAGCGACTAGGTTTCCCCAGGTTTTGGTTTCGTACGTTTATTTCAAGTACTCCAGCACTTCGTAGAAGTAGCGTTAGGTGCTAACACTAACGATAAGCTCATCAGTTAGAGTTTCGAGCAGGAACGCTTTGACTTTCCGCTCACGATACCAGAAGTCGTCTTCGTCTCACCTCGAGCCATTTCGAGGAGGCTTCGCATGCAGCGTTGTGATGGCTTAGAGGCCTCTCGCCTTCATCATGGCTTGTAGTGTCAACTTCTTACAAGTTTGCCTAAATCATGGGCACTGTGGTGTAGTGATTTCTCCGTAGTTGCGGATTATCACCCGTCGACAAAGACGTGACACAGCCCAAGTTGTTCAAGCGACGAACCCTCGGTCAGGTGATGTACGGAGACGCCAAGGTGCAAGGGACTCGACGGCGTCACCTCCGAACATTCAACGAGCATTGGATACGGGCATATGTCACTGAATCCAGGCTGTCCTTATTATTAATAATGGACTGGCCGGATTCGCATTCAGCGGACCATATACGGTACGAACCCTCAGTGGCGGTTGGGATGAGTTCGCGGAAGACTCAGCGACCCTTGGAAGACACGTTCACCGTCTGGGACAGGGCGCGGACCGTTAAAGATGCTCATGCGACGGTGCAGACGACGCTTGGCATGCAAGAAGATCCATAACGGATCATTGTTCACTTGATATTTGTATACTTGATTAGGACTTCTTATTAGGAATAGACGCGAAAGGGTAAGCTTATATACAGAACAGAATTTCCACTCAAGCACACAGAGCGACGTCCGGCTTCAAGGTAAGCGTCTGGTCAAGCTTGTTAGAGTGTGTTATGCCTGTCGGTGAACTCGAAGCTCTGTAGCGAGGGTTCATCCGGCAAGGCCAAGAGACTTTGTGTATTGGCCGATTACTATTGGGAGGTTTTACGTGACGGCTTATTGTTGCCTATTTGCACGACTGGGAGTGCTTGAATTGCCTCCCTTTTATTCTTCCAACCGAGTGTTGAACTCTCGGTGATCTCGTAAAAGGCTTACCCGTGCCTGGTACCCTTCCGCTGTTGGGACCACGAGGATTTAAAACACCTGCTAGCTTTGCTCGTGCTAGTAGCGTGTTCTTATTTTACTGGTTGGCCTACATAAGTAGTTTACAAGGTCCAGTTTGTCCCGGTGCAAGGGCAGAACTGGGGTCTTCAGGTCCGCCCGAACGATCGTTTACTATCCTAGTAGACGTATTGTTGTGGGGAACATCCTAACTACATCTGTAGCTAGAGTTCACGTGGGATTTCCAACACCACAACTGGTGCCGCGACCCGGGAACCGATTGTGACCATTGTGAACTGTTTGTATGGCCTTCCAGTTTACGAGCTACCAAGGAGAAGAAGAACAAGAAAACAAAAACAAGAAACATGGCGAGAGGACAACCGACGGTACCAGTTACTCCTGCCAAGTCTGGCGGGGCTCGCAACGAGAGTTCAAGCCCGGCTGCGCGCTTTGCAGCCGCCACTGAGCTTTCAGTGAGCTTCGACGACGAAGCGGACATCGGTCCTGACGCCCACGATTATGAAGATTACGAAGACAAGACGCCGGCTCCGCAGCCAGGCGCAGCGACGCCGGAGACGGCCACGCTATCATCGGGGGTGAGCGGGCCGACCAGGTCCCTTTCGAGGAAACCTCGCCCGACGAGCTCGATGATGTTGCGGAACCGGAACCCGCCTACGAAGATTATTGACGATGGAACCGAGGGTTCTAAACCCTCGGTGGCGAGTGCAAAGCATTCAGCACTGCTGAAAGGCACCTCGCTCACCTATCAGCGGTGATACACCAGCCGCCAAGCGCGTTTTCGACCGCGTACAAGCGCTGATGCAGAATGATGAGTGGATGCAGCTGTTCAAGCCCATCCCCAAGAAAAAAGCCGACTGGCCTGCGCTTGCGCAGGACCTTCAACACCCAGTCAACTCGGTTTCGACTAGCCAAGTCGCCGAGGATTCAGTTTCGCTACTGCTGTCGCTGGGGTTCGAGAACGAGACGTACCCATCGACGATGTCGCTCCAGGATTGGAGTCCACATGAAGCCGGAGCTGCTCTCCAGAAATGGAAGAAGAAGCTTCGGAAGGCGTTTGGCGCTGTTGACATCAATTCCGGAAAGCAGCCTGTGAGCCGACCGATGATTCAAGATGAAGATCCGTCCAAGATTCCACTGCCGCCGACGCCCCAACGACTCGTTCGTACTCCTCCGACCAAGCGTGGAGCTGAGCGTGGTGCCTTTGGCACTACCGAAGCTTCACCGTACTTTCAAGACTCGCACATGGTTACGCCACGTTCGGAGAGCCGTATGCAACGTATTTACGCAAGTAACGAGGGTTCGTTCGGTCGCCGAGGCGGTGCGCGAGCTCCCAAAGGTGGTGCCGGACGTCGTCAAGTCGACAGCTATGGCTCGTTCAGTGACGATGACATTTTTGTGCGTACATTCGACGAGGAAGATCCTCAGCTTGAGTTGATGCGCCAGATGAATGAGCTAGCGACGCTGAACGACGTGGATCCAACACCGAGGATTGAAATGGCTTCGCACCGACCGCTGGATCGCATCACGCCGTTCTCAGGCTCTCGCAACAAGAGCGAGAACTGTATGCAGTGGCTCCGTGGGTTCGTCTATGAAATGACTGGAACCCACACAGATGCCGACAAATGGTGCATTCCATTTGAGCTAAGTCTCCGGGACGGAGCCATTCATTGGTTCCGTCAACTTCCGAAGGAGACGAAGCGCAAGTGGAAGCTGCTGAGCGATGCGTTCATCCGCTACTACTGCTCGCAATTCACTCAGACGGCACTGTCGCGCTACTACTCCGCCAAGCGGGAACGAAATGAACATCTGTGCGACTACATAAACAGGCTGAATGGCTACGCTCGGACCGCCCGTCTACACTTTGAGAAGAGTGGTCGCGACGCGAAAGAACACGTACAGCAGTTCCTGGCAACATGCGACGATGACAAGCTAGCGGAGAGTCTCTACCACGCTCGCGTCACCGACATTCACGAGCTCGAAGAGATCATCGAAGATGTTCTCAAGGGCAAGGAGAGGATGGCCAAGCGTGACAGTGAGTACCGATACTCCAAGCGTCGTGACGCGCGACGCGACGATGGATACGCCCGCAACAACCGGCGTGATGACCGTCGCCGCGATGACAACCGAAACAAACCAAGAGTGACGCTCATTGAAGCCACGGTGGATGACCTACTAGCTGAATTAGAAGGTCGTGAAGCCGCTCAGGGAGGCATCGAGTATTCAAACGAAGATCCGAACGCTAACAACGATG